AAACTGGAACTGGGATCTCTCTTGTTAAACTGGAGCTGGGATCTCTCCTTGTTGAGCACAGGTTCCTTTGAGACAGCAGGTCCCCGTTCCCCTCTCCGTGCCGAGGTGGCGGCGCTGGACTCGCAGGCAGCAGAGCCCGGGCGGGTTCTGTTGGGTGAATTTTCTTTTCCTGTGCACAGAACTCGGAGCTGTTCACGCTGACCTACGGTGCCCTGGTGACCCAGCTCTGCAAGGACTACGAGAATGATGATGATGTCAACAAGCAGCTGGACAAAATGTGAGTGTGTGCACAGGTGGGAGTGGATCTGCCCTGCTGGAGCTGTGGGGGAGCTGGGATCACAGCAGGGATCGGTGCCTGAGGTTTTAGCTTTTATATTTTTCAGATTCTGTGCTGCTTTAGTGTGTAATTCTGAGCTTCATGTTAGGGAATAGTGAGCTCTCTGCACAGAGTAGGGAGACAAAACAATTCCTTCTGTAGCTGGGGACCAAGGACAAATAATCCAAATTTCAGGCCCAAGAGCATAAACAGTATGGACTGAAGAGAGAAAAACAAGGATGGGACTTCATGGGCTAAAGCTGTAATTGGACAATTAACTCCAATATGCAAATAGAGCAGAACTTATAAAAGTGAGACCTCGTGACCAGTTTTCCATTTTTTGTGACCATTTTGGATTCATCTTGGGTGTAGCCCTGGCTGGGCTCTTGTGCTGCCCAAGGTGCATCCATTGAGACCTTTTAATAAATCCCTGCTTTATTCTTTAACTCAATCTAGCCTCTGTTCTAGGGCAGCCTTCACCAGGCATCAGGATCACAGCAGGGATCACAGCCACATCCCCGTGTGCTGCTCCAGGAGCAAAACCGTGGCAAGCTGAAATTACTTAACATTGAAATTTCTCAGATTAGTCTTTGCTTCTTCACTCTCTTCTTTTATAAATATTTGTTGTCTTTCTGAAGCTGTTGCTCTGGTCCCTTCACAGGGGTTACAACATCGGTGTCCGGCTCATCGAGGACTTCCTGGCCCGCTCCAATGTTGGGAGGTGCCACGATTTCCGTGAAACTGCAGATGTTATTGCAAAGGTAAATGTCCAAGCACTGCTTTGTCAGGTTATTGCTTGGGTTTTGAGTGTGAGGATGGAATATTTGTTTCTCACAGGACTTTGATTAAGTTTTTGGGGAGGGAAAACAAAAAAGCTTTAGCCCAAGTACTGCTGGCTGGTAGGAACTGGAAGAAAGGAGAAATGTTTGCAAACCCCTTGAGGAATTTTACAAAATCAAAGCTGTGCTGTTGCCTCAGCTTGTTCTTGTTCCTCCTGCTTGCCACAACAGATTGCATTTAAAATGTACCTGGGCATCACTCCGAGCATCACCAACTGGAGTCCTGGGGGCGATGAGTTCTCCCTGATCTTGGAAAACAACCCCTTGGTGGACTTTGTGGAGCTCCCTGACAACCACTCAACCCTCATCTACTCCAACCTGCTCTGTGGGGTGCTGCGAGGTGCCCTGGAGATGGTGAGCCACATCTCCCTTCCCTTGGGGTGGGTGTATGGACAGCCAGGTGTCAGCAGATACTTGAGTTCTGGTCTGTTTGTGATTTCTGGGTTTGAAACGCATTCCCAGGAGAAGGGCAGAGCTGCAGGAGCACTTGGCTGCTGTTATGTGTGGCAGCTGAGGCCCAGAGGTGGTGCCTGAGCCCTTTCAGCTCATCACCCAAGTTCAGGTATCTCCCTGAGTTTGTGTGAAGCTCCAAAATCCTCACTCTGTATCTGCTGTAAGCCCTAGCTGGGAATTGGCTGAAACAGCTGTGTCTCAAATTTAGGACTTTGTAGAGCCCTGTATGTCATGTCATGCCCTTAGAGCCCTTAAGCTGGTGCTCCAGGATCATTCAGCCCCTGGAGAAGCTGCTGTGAACAGGGAGTTACCAGCTCCTCTCTGCTATTCCCTCACTAGGTGCAGATGGCTGTCGATGTGAAGTTTGTCCAGGACACCCTGAAGGGCGACAGTGTCACAGAAATAAGGATGAAATTCATCAGGAGGATTGAAGACAACCTTCCAGCTGGGGAAGAGTGAACCACAGCCCCATCTCCCTGGGGACTGGAGGGACCAGCTGGGTTTGGCCATTAGCTTTCCTCACAGATCCACAGGGATCTCCTGCCCCTGCACACTCAGACTGACTCACTGACTGTCTCAGATGTTGTTTTCTTCTACTCTCACTTCCATCCTCTGTAGGAGATGATTGTCTGGTTGCTGTTTATTTCCCAGGTTCATTCTGAAGCTTTTTCATCAGGTGATGTCCTTTTCTCTCCCCCTGGGGGCTTCCTAAGCTCAGTTTCCATTTGTGACCTGGGCTGTGTGACAACAACTGCTCAGACTCCAGGAGAGCTCCGGTCTCTTCACATCGCTGTCGGAGGGCCAGAATTGGAGACCAAGCTACAAGAGCCCACTGATTCCCTGCTAAACCCCGTCCTTCCTTAAATGAGGTGTTCAAAATCCATTTGGAGATGTGTGTAGTGTTTCTGTAGATCAAACTGGCTTCCTGCACTTGATTCTGGCAAGCTTGGTCCAAAGGGGTGGCTTGGGGAGAGCTGCTGGCACCAGGGCAGGGGCTGCTCTGCTCAGGGGGGTGTGGCACCACAGAAATCTGGGAGTCCCATGGCCTTTCCATTGTCCCTTCCCTCAAGGTGAAGGGGAGTTTGATCTCCTCCTCTGGAGGGTAGGAGATCAAACTCCAGTGGAGCAGTAGGAACTATTTTACACAGAGAAAGAATGGCTAAAATGGCATGGCTGCTCCACAGTGGGCACAGCCCAGGGCTGCGTGGGGAGTCATGGAATGAGGACCAAACTCAGGCTGAGGCCTGGGAGGTGTTAAAGACATTACAGGCTCTGTTCTGATGTTGGAGGATGTAAATGCTGCAAGGTGTGAAGGCAGTGCTGGGGTTTGTTCTCTCTCACTGGTGTTCAGTAGAATTTCCCAGTTACTTGACCCGTGGCACTTGCTGCTCTCAAAAATAAATACATAAAGAAGT